GGGGGGGGGGGGGGGGAGAAGAAGAAGATTATTCATGGGGTCGTTCAGTTGGTTGACTTGGCGTTTAGCTGAGACGGAGATGCTCACTGACAAAAGACATAAATAGGGTTTCTGATTTGTTTGAATTTTATGCAGCCAATACAAACACTGTATCGAGGCAACCGGGGGCGACTGTTGGGGGAGTTGTTCTCTAAAACTCTCTGCTCGGGAGGGAAAAGCTTCTGAAATAATAAAATATTCAACATGAAAAAGTTGCCAGCTCTTAAGGACAGGACAACATACCCCCTCTTATCCAACGATGAAACTGAAATGAACCTTTGAAGGGCCTGATGACAGCATCCCTACGCGCTCCCAGGATGCTCGTGAACTCAAGCACCAGTCAGTTACACAGGAGTGATGCCTCAGTGGGCTTTCAGACAGCAACACACAGCTCTAGTTGATGTGGGCGTGCTGCTACAGGCTTCAAAAGGTAAAGACAATGAAACACAAGCTACAAAGTCCAGTTCGAGGGCTTATCAAACTCAAAGTCTCAAACACACAATGGTATATACTCGGCTTGACTTTCATTCAGGTTCTTCACAGCGGTACAAAGTATTCCACTCTGTGCTGCGAGCTCGAACATATCGCAGTGGTCAGACCCGTGTGCCGCTGACAGCTCCTGCACCGTGTCACAGAGAGAGTGGAGCCACAGCCAGACTACACGCGGTGGAGTTCAGAGGGCGTGTGGGGACATGGATGTGTGCAGCATGTATGCCTCAGAGTGGTGGGACAAAAGAGGGACAATACGCAGCTGACGTGATCGAGGTGGAACCAGCGCGTGGACACCGGAGATCAAACTGAAAACACCAGCCAAACTATCTGCCAAACTGCGGCCCCTAGTGGCTGGTTGAGAAATGGGAGGAGTCAGCAGTCAATGGCGGTGTAAAAACAGTCAGTAATAATAGGTTTTTCAAAGATTGTTAATCAGCGCTTCAACAAATAGTCTTAAATGTGCACGACAACTATTAGAGGGGTGGGTCCAGCAGTATGAGAGTGTCACTGCGGACAGACACACACACACACACACACACACAAGTAGTCTCTGTACAAGCAACAAACTAATGACGCCAAATTTGGCAGTCAAATTTCAGGTCAGTCTTGTTTACTTACCCTTTGATGAGTCAGCTTCCATCATCGTTTTGACCAATTTTGGACTAAAAGCTCGTCATCAAATAAAAAAAACATTGCTTGTGTCAAACAAACATCTTTCTAATGCTCCAAGTAAGTTATTCTAAAGTACCACTTTAGTGTTGGAACCAATACTGTGATATGCTGTAGGTTTTCTTCACAGCAGATGTTTTGCCTCGTCATAGCAGGGACAGCACAGATGTTACTAACAACATTACCAATGGCTCTGTTCTATCCAAGTGTACGCCGTGACAGTTAGCAAGCACGCACAATAACAGGAGCCAGGAACTGAAGCAGCTAATGGAATTTAGCTCTCGTTAACTGTATTAACTGTATTAATCAGACACTACCATGACGTTGGCAAAAAGAGAGGCCTGTTGTCATCAGGATTTCTCCAGCAGTCATTTGTTCCAGTGCACTCTGGCAGTACTTTCTGAAATTATCTGACAAAAAATAGGCTGAAATCTAAAGCTGAGGACCAACGAAAGGCCCAGTC